CATGAAATAGCAGTTATTCAACCAGTTCTAATTGCTAACTTCCTGAAAACATTTCACAAGACTTTTTGACACCAGATCTGTAGTTATATACTTGAACATTTTAATGAGTTTCTTTTGGAAGTCTTTCAGCAATTTTGCTAATGTTTTTGAGCTTTGACTGTATTATCCTTCCAGATGTGCATAAGATTTTGCATTTTGTTAATGAAAAAACATTATGCCCCGATAGTCCTAGTCCTGGGACAGGATGATTTTAAGTAATCCTTTCATTCAGTAATGCTTTATTTTATCCCTGACGAATCTGTAGTGCTTTTATTCTTAGGTGAAGTTCTATATCAGCTGGTGGCAGGAGCGGAGCGGAGCGGAGCGGAGAGGAGAGGAGAGGAGAGGAGAGGAGAGGAGGAACACAGAGGTCTGTCTGAAAGGCCATCTACATGGAGAGGTGCAGGCAGAGTTCAGGCTCTCTGTCCTTCCCCTGGGCACAAGGTAGCTGGGAGCTGCACAGGAGCAGTGGTGCAGCCATCCCCCTGTTCCACTGCCTCGGCCAGCTCTGAGCACAGCCAGAAGCACTGGTGTCTGCCTGCATGGATCCACCTGGATGTGTCCCGTGTCTCCCCTCGTCATGCCTGGAAGTGTCCCGTGTCTCCCCTCATCACGCGCCGCTGCAGAACAAAGCCATGGATGCGGCCTTTCCTGTTTACTCCTCTGGGTGTGGTACATCAGCCGCTCCTTGCCCTAATATTAGAAAAACAATCAGAGCTGCGCCACAGGATGTGTAGCTACTCTCCTGCGCCTGGCCACTTAGAACTTTTACAACTATACATCCCACAGCAACGCTCCGATTCTGCTCATAACAGATATTTCAGTCCCTGCTCTTGGGGTGCACAAACACGGCAGTGAAACTCGGGCTCAGTCCATCCTAAAAAAGCCCAGCTAGAGATAAAAGGCTCTACAGAATATTGCCATTCTGAACCGAAACTCCTGGGGATGCCTGGTGGGTTTGCTTTAACGTATGAACCAATTAAATGGTGTCCATGTCTTGTAGCCTCAGGGAAGCAGTCAGGGGATCTGATGAAGCCACAGAAGAACGACTTTGAACTAGGACTGTTCAAAAGCAAAGCCCTCGCCACTGGAATCCCTAGGTTCCTGGTGAATATGTACCCTCTGCTTTTTTAGCAAGCAGACAAGCACTTTTGAACAGGTGCACTTCTGAACACGGTTGTACTTTCCACATAGTTTAAATAATATACATTTGGCAAGTCTTGCCTTCTTTAAAACTATGGACAGCTTAAAGGAGGAACATTGCCTGTGTGTCTGTCACAACTTAATGAGAGCACTTATTCAAAGTGTAATTGATTTGAAGGAGTAAGAATTGCTCAGAGATGTCCTCCTTTGTTTTTTCTTCTTTTTTGGTTGCTAATTTATTTTTCTTTTGCTCATTTAGGGTAAACAAGATATTTTTTTTATGAAGTCTGTATCCTAATATAGTTACAGAGGAGTGTATTCATTTCCAGAAAAGCTTATGCTATCAGTGTCGCATTTATTAACTTGCAATACTGTGATAAAATAATATGAAAAAGTTCATAAAGTATGAAGATCTACAGTCAAATCCAGAGTAAGACTATACTGAGTTTTGGGTGTAATTTTACTATGCTTTGTAGCATAATTGAGTCTTCCTTGTGCTACAATAAACAGAGTCAGATAATTCCATACCCTGAGGGCTAGATCTCTTTGTATGTGCTTAATTTTAAAATCTGTGAAAGAACACTGAATTTACACAGGGCTATGCACAGTTGCAAAGTTAAGTGTATGCAGGATAATGGCCTAAAAACTTACTGCAAGATAGACAGCACTGCAAAGATTTGCAATAAATGAGCATGCCAGATGAGCCCTGATCTCAAACATTAAAATATAATTTTCTATTTTAGTGAATTGTCATTGAAGCTTTAATGGAAGAGTGCATCCTGAGCAAAGATCTAAATGGAAAGTCATCACCTAAAAAGTCAAACAACTTTTCCAGTTGTAAGAAATGCCGTGGAAAGAAAATGAAATACTAAAAAAAAAGAAAGGTGAACAGAATAGCTAAGCAGGATGACTGGGTATGAGTTTTGCAAAATCCTTCAAGATTTAAATATATACGTAGGAATTTATCAGCTTTCAGAGAAATGTATTTCTTCTAAATTATCCACATTAACAGCATTTCAGCAAGGGGAGCAAAGATGCTGGTGCTGCATGGTAATATTAGAGATGCTTGAAATTTGCAGTACAAAACCAGTCTCTCCGGGACATTCAGTGAACAGATGTTCAGAGGCAGTCTGCTGCTTACAAATCAAAACCGTATGAGAAGTGTTATAGCTGCTGATGTTCGCAAGAAGGACAGATTCTCTTTTGTGGATTTTTTTTTAATGTCAGCTCTAGTAATCTTTGATGTTTCTCTAGATTTGGAAAAATCCTAATAACTTATTCTGAGAAAAATCAGAAGAAACATGCAGATGGAAATTTAGT